ACATGACCCTATATTAAAACTTTTTTTCTCGTCTTATATGTCTGACGCATCCAAACAAGATACAACAAGTATTAACCTATCGTTTTGAACACAGCGCCTTCTACCAAATCGGGTAGGTCAGACATACATATATATCTGACATGGCTCATGTAGAACTTCTTAGCGTCAGACACATATGACTGACATGGCGATTAACGTGCTAGAATTGCAGTTTGTACAAAGTCATCCAAACAGTTCAATGACTGAAATCTAAATATACCTATATAACTCAAAGGTAACTGACATAGTGATCTATCAACGCACAGCCCAAACCACTGGACGGATCGGGCTGAAATTTGGCATGCAGGTAGATGTTATAACGTAGGCATTCGCTAAGAAAGGATTTTGAGTAATTCTACCTCCAAGGGGATAAAATAGGGAAGGAAAGTTTGTATGAAACTTGTCAATCAAGCGATGCCGCGGGCAAAAGCTAGTATATGTATAAATGTTAAATAAAAGACGGTGTCTGCTTCAACGGTTACTTATGAACGGAAGAGAACTAGCACAGTGTAATACTATGTAATATTATGTTATCTGTGGTAATACTATCCTATAACATAATAGTTATATTATGAACTGAATGGAACCAACACAGCGTAATACTAACTTATACTAATATTTATAAATTTAGCCACTGTATAACAAAAACATTAGCAAGAACAGAACAAAGATATCAAATACTATCTGTCACTTACGACTTCCGCGTGGAATTAAAATAAATAAAAATTAATCAAATGTACTCTAATTTTCTCCTTATAACATTAGCTATCTACGAGTGAAAGTCCCGTTCAAATCAGTCTACGGCTAGACTGATTTGAACGGGACTTTCACTCAAGATTACCAAAAACAAACAGACAGAAAGACATTAAATTTTAATATTGTATTTTTATAATAGTATATTAAAGTATTATAACAAAATAAAAGTATAATCCTATATATCGTATGTACATTCATAAGCATTTAGTGAAAATATTAAGAATGTAACATTTTTTATTATAAAATTGAATTTAAGTTAAAAATCATGTGGTTTTATGCCCCCTGGATACGACAATCGTAATTTGCAATAGTATATACAAAGATTTAGCTTTAACGTTTTGACAAATAATAGGATTTAATACATCAATATTCAGTCTCTTATCAATCTTTTGATAAGTTTATTATAATGGCTCTGTATTATCACAGAGCGAGTATGTTATATTATGTTAAGACTGTGTAAACTAAATAAATATAGGTAGTAAGTAAGTTTATTTGCTTTACAGACAGGATAAGTAAACAATTAAGGCACAGTGATGATATCAGCAGGCAGCTCTGTAACATGCCTTTTTACAGTAGGCATGCAAATTTTTATTACTAAGCCTAAAAAAATACATATGTTATAACAATTATATTCTAATTTAATATTTAACGATTATTATACAATGTTTTTACAATTATTATTATTATATATATATATATATATATCTCCGTTTGATGGGGTAATAGACTGATCATTGCGGGTAAAAATAACCAAACAATGATAGTATAAATGATGAATGATGAGGATGGATAATTTTCAAGTGGAAGACAAAAATTTGCGGACTATTCTATTCAATATTACAGCTTTTTGGAGTAGGAGTTTCCCTCTCTACCACACAATGGAACTGGCACTCGTACGGTGCCTTCGTAGAATACTAAGAAGTGAGTTTCCCTCCTCTTAATCAATTTGTATTGCCATATATATTAATTAGTGTTCCTATTAAAAGCATTCGCAACGACTCGATATATGGTTTAATTTTAGAGTTTTCCATCACGGTAGATGTTTAATGTATAATATACTAGCTATGCCTGCGGTTATACCCGCGATATTTATAGCCTATACATTATTCTGATGTATAAACTATATTATTGTAAAGTTTTATCAAAATTTGTTTAGTAGTTTTTATGTGAAAGAGTAATAAACATCCATCAATACTCACAAACTTTCGCGTTTATAATAGCTTTAACCCGTGGCTTCGCTCACATTGAATATATTAAATAAGTTTATTACTGGCTGCAAGATAAAGTAACAAAATGTTATTTTTTATTTTTATAAAACACTAGCTGTCCCGACAAACGTTGTTTTGTCTTAAAATAAAAAAAAAATTAGGGGCTCTACCCCTAACATTTAGGGGGATGAAAAATAGATGTTGGCCGATTCTCAGACCTACTCAATACGCTCACAAAATTTCATGAGAATCGGTCAAGCCGTTTCGGAGGAGTATGGGAACGAAAACTGTGACACCAGAATTTTATATATAAGATTAAAAGTATTTATATAATGATTAAGACGGCGTGGTTAATTTAATTGACTTATATAAAAGGAGGCAATTCTAGCTTCTAATTATGAAAAATGTCATGTTTCTATTTAATCGACGATATATATTTTACTCACCTAGGAACGTGTCTCATATTAAACCAGTTTAATACAGTCCTTCCGTCACACTATTTGCTCCAGCTGGCTTTTCCAGCTTTAACGAACAATTGGTGAGAGCATAGCATAGAACCCACGGCATATTTACTTGACTTATGGAGCAGCTGAAGGCCAGTTTCTGTCTTACTGATATAACTTTAGTCTGAGGGCACCTCGAACTCGAACCTCGATTTCGAACGTCCTAATTTCGATCTCCGTTTGAATTGGACGGTAGATCAATCGGAAGCCCACATCCACCACTGCATCATCATCCATTTAAAAAATCTTCATAAAGTTAGAAGATTTTTTAAATTATCTCTTGTCGTACGTATATATTATATAAATACATAATTTTAGTGTCTACCGGTGCCCGAAACTGACTAAAATCAGTATTAATACTTTAATTGTTATCTTATCTGTGGTCTTAATTGTGTAGTCTTTAATAGTATAAGCTATTATACAGGTATAATATAATAATTTGAGTAATTACATTAGTACAGTTACATCAAAATGCAGACTATACTTTGTGCGTTATAGTATTATGCGAATGACAGTTGTTTTATGTAATAATAGCTACTCGCCCCGGTTTTGAACGAGTGTTCATGTATTATATATATAAAGCATCCTCTAGAATCACTCTATTAAAAAACAGCTTCAAAATCCGTTGCGTAGTTTTAAAGATTTAAGCATACATAGGGACAGACAGCGACAGCGACTTTATTTTATACTATGTAATGATGATTTAATTATTATGACGCACTCGTCACCCTACTGCGCCGTGCAACATTCTGCATCTGTGGCGCATTATTTTGCGCGGGAAAATGAAAGGCGACAAAATGGTTTCTTCTGCAGACATAGTAATAAATTGTCATGCTCTCTTTATATGCCTGTAATTTACTTATATTTCAATATACTACTTTTATATACAACAAACCGAATATTAATACAGCTGCTAGTAACATACCTAACACAGTTAAAAAAAGGAATTACGTGATACGGTGTGACTTCTCAACAGGGATGTTATGGATATGAAATTTCGGATAATTTCGGTTACGGATATTAATTTTTTATGTAAATTCTATAGGAAAATACAAATATATACATATAAATACAATTGGAGTGTCTGTTTGTAATATTGAAATAACCGGTTTTTAGTACATGCATATGAATATAAATAAGTAGCTAATAAAATGGTTACATAACGTGTCTCAATTAGGTTCAGCCCCTATCCGGTATTATCCGAAACTTTTATTTCGGTTTCGGTTACGGTTACGAATATTTTTTTATATCGGATATCCGATAGTTTCGGTTACGGTTACGGAGCGTAACATGCCACCTGCTTCTCAGTCCTCCGCAATGACAAAGCATGAACGGTATAATGTGCGTCACGTAACCACCTGAGATCCATAGTTCTGTTCTTGTATACCAGTTGAGGAAAATATAATGATTATGAATAATACGACTAACTTTTTTTTTTAAGGTTTACACTGGAAAGATGCACTCGCCTGCGCTGACGGTTTACGCTGGTGGGCTACCAGTGAAGGATGATAAATGAGGATGAAGTCGGGGCAATTAGCCAAGTTGGCAAATGATTTGTGATGACGACCTCGGTGGTATAGCGGTTAGCACACCGCTTTACGATCGATGGTCGCGGGTTCGATTCCTCATACGGCACAAACAATTGTATTCATTAGTATGATTGTTTGTATCGGTCTGGGTGTTTTCTATGTATAATAAGCATGTATTTACGAAAAAAAATATCTATGTATATGTATCAGTTCTCTAGTACCCATAACACAAGCTTAAGCTAGCTTAACTTGGGTCTAGATGGCGCTGTGTGAATTGTCCTGAGATTATTATTATTATTATTTATTACACCTACTTTTAAATTACTTGATTTACATGATGGTTTCTAAGTGGAACTGCATGGAGGTCAACCTGACATGGTACGTAGCTAACTATGGGTTTATCTGTCCATATTTCTAACAATACCCTTCCCCCCAATACGACCAGGTATTAGATTGACATAATTAAATTAAATTAAATTAAAATTAAACATAATTAGATAACAAGTTATAACTTCGGTGGTTTGGCAATTTAGCACACTGCCTAACTTTCTGATAGTCCAGGTTCGATTCCAATACCTGACAGACTTTTCTATAGATGTTGTTTGTCTTGTCTATATTATGAGTATATATATTTACAAAAAAGTATTTCTGTTAATTCACTAATACCTAATTAAGGATAGTTGTGTCTGTCTGTACTCTCTGCTTAGTTTGCCACTATATGGCGTATTATGAATTAGGTATTTAAATATTTATAATAAAAAGTGGTAAAATGTATCTGTCAACCGTAGCATACTACTGCGCGAGAGTTAAGATATTTCTTTATGACTTAAACACGTTTATAACTATGCGTATAGTCATTAAATTACAGTGACAAAACGGTGGGAATTTACACAGCGTTTTAACTTAGGAGAATCAAAAATAATTTTATTCTATAATATTCATTAGACTACTTTTGTATATATTAAATGAAAGGATTCAAGAAAAATAGAGATGTGCCTCGCAAAGTTTACGAGTTATGGGAGATCACGGAGAAGTTTGGCAAATATCAGGCATTGCAATACGCTTGCATTTCCTTCGGGACAATATTCGTTGCAATTGTCAATATTAATTATATATTTATTGCTAGTGACCTTAACTACAGGTAAGAAACAAAAAAAAATATTATATATTCAAGACATTACAATAATCTTTACATAGTATAAAACAAAGTCGCTTGCGCTCTTTGTTCGCTTATATCTTTTAAGTTACGCAACGGATTTTAATTCAATAGATAGAGTAATTCAAGAGGTACGTTCATATGTATTGTACATGCGTGTTATAGTATAGAACAACCCGAGAAATTCAAAGATCAGTAATGTGCCCGTGCAAAGCTGGAACGGGTTAGTATTATAATATATAAAATTCTCGTGTCACAGAGTTAGTTGCGATGCCTCCAAAACTTAGCAGTTTTTTATGAAGTTTTATACCTATATTCAGTAAGTTCTGAGAATAAGTGTGATATAAATAGTGTCATGTGATGATAGTGTGTATATAAATAAATAAATAAGTTCTTATCAATTTTTTGTACCCTAAGTGATAAGGATGGCACAATTTAATAACAATAATATCTCAAGACAATTCACACAGGCCCATCTAGTCCCAAGCTAAGTAGAGATTGTGTAATAGACATAGATTGGGTACTATACAACTGATATAAACAGTTGCCATGTACATGGATACATTTTTTTGTAAATAAACACATATTATACATAGAAAACACCCAGACAGATACAAACAATCATACTCATGAATACAAATGTTTGTACCGTGCGAGGAATCGAACCCACGAACATGGGATGGTAAAGCGGTGTGCTAAACCACTAGAGCACCGAGGCTGTCGATGATGTTTATAATTATAACATATTATATGAATAGAGTTAATAGGAGGGAAATATACTTTCATATATTATGTTATCTGTGCTTTCATTAAGGTTTCCGATATATAGGCAAAAAATAAAATATATTTTATATCCTTCCGGCGGTAGGACATGCTGACCTGATATGCAAAGAACTGGGATTACAAAAAACCCCTTGAAATATATTTTTATAATAACAAAATTTACCTTTTTCAGATGTCGAATCACAGAATGTGAGACTACGGAAGCTGCATATGAAACCCCACCGTGGGGGTCAAACGTGTCCGTAGACAGGTGTTCGAAGCCCGTTCTGAACGAAAGCTGGTCGCAAACACAGTCGTGTACGGCCGACAGTTTCTCCAGTTCTATAGAACCCTGCACGCAGTGGATCTACGAGAGTAACAACACCATTGTAGCGGATGTAAGTTATAACTTCAGACCAACATGATATGGGAATATAGTAATATTAAAACTACTCATAGGATTCCAAGCTAATTTACTTATAAACTGTTGACTGACACTGGTATTCTATATGCGTTGAAGAGGGACAAATGTTGGGGCCTTAGGGTGAGCCTCTATACCCTGGAAACAATCCCCGGGTAACTGACAAAAAATTGACAGCCTCTTGGGGCGATTTACTGGCTAACTTAAATTTTAAAAACTAAGCTAGGCATTATTATATACAGAAATTATTTACACTCTTAACTTATAAACTAGACGACCTCGGTGGTCTAGCGGTCTAGCACACCGCTTTACGATCGATGGTCGCGGGTTCGATTCCTCGCACGGCACAAACATTTGTATTCATGAGTATGATTGTTTGTATCAGTCTGCGTGTTTTGTATGTATAATGTGTATGTATTTACGTAAAAAAAAAAATGTATATATATATGTATCAGTTATCCAGTACCCATAACACAAGCTTTAGCTAGCTTAACTTGGGTCCAGATGCGCCGTGTGAATTGTGTGTGAACTTTACATGGGGTCTGGGATTTTTTAAATATTTTATTGTTTTTACTTTTTAATAATTACATCAAATTTTTATAACAGCAATTATTAGTATTGCATATACTAATAATTGCTATGAATATAATTCAGGCGCTTGTCAACTTATAATCTATGTCAATATTATTTTTCATGTCTTTTTAAAACACTTCAATATTTTAACAATTCCTACTGTACCACTACGTTAAAACAATAATACAAATTAAGAAGTGATTGCCATTAGCAAATGAACATGTTTCTATTACCGTGAATTTCAGACAATCTTCTAATATATAAAATTCTCGTGTCACAGTATTTGTAACAAATCACCTCAGAAATAGACAAAAAATACGGGACTACGCCGGGAAATACGGGACTTCTGGCAACGCTAGTGATAAGGGTGTTGCACCGCATTTTTCTTTTATTTATTTAATAATTTTCTACTCTCGGCGGCCGATAACTGATTCATTTATATGGAAGAACAACGTATGGAGTCAGCGTACAAGGTCAGCTAGTAAATAAAAAATATCTTCTACTGTATTCATTCTTCCAGTTGGACCTGGCCTGTGAACCTTGGAAGATGAACCTGGTGGGTACAGTGCATAGCGCCGGTATGCTGATCTCCATGATTGTAGCCGGCTGGATAGCAGATAGGTATAAGAATTAAAGACATTACGCTTCCCTCTTATCGATCCCCAGTCCAATTCAAACGAGGGGCCAGAGCCAAGGTTCGAACCACTAGTAGTGCCCTCAGACTAAAGTCGTATCAGTCAGGCGGGAGTTGACCTTCAGCCGCTCCGTAAGTCCTTCCGCGGAGTGCCAACTGCACTTGCTCCCTATCGTCCGGTGAAGCTGTAAAGGCCAGCTGCTGCAAATAACATTTTTGTAGTCCGAAAAAAAAAATGTGTTTTTTTTAAATTGATGGTAATGTAATGGCATACTCGTATGCGCTACTTGTTTACGCTGACGGGGCACCGATGCAGGATTATAATATGAGTATGAAGTTAAAGTCAATTAGCCCATCCTGACAAATTGGTGTCATAATGGTTTTAAGAGGGAACTGCGTGAAGATGGTACATTTACATACATGGTATGGATGGTACATAAATACAATTACAACCTGACATGGTACATTCCTACAATATTGAGGTTAGTCAACATTACTAACAGTCAGAGACATTTGTTATTGGAGATTTCATGGTGTTAATAACACTTGACAAGCCCACATTCCGTCGCATATATATATATTGAAGCCAAAGCCGGGGGTAAACTTATAGCCGCGTCTCGAATTAATGTTTGTTATTATTATAGGTGTTCACTTTAGCGGAGAGTCAGTCAGAAATATAAATTGACACACAAAGTTTTTTTGGTGACGACCAGATTTGAACTCACAACCTTTTGGATGTAAATTCAGGGTAATAAACCACTAGATCTCAACGCTGTCATATAATTTACTTTTAAATATAAATACTTGTTATGTTTACTAGGTTTGGACGTAAACCAGCCGTAATATTCTTCGTAGTGGGCACGTGTATGGGACACGTCAAGACTTTCGCCACGTCCTATTATATGTACATAGCCATAGAGTTCATTGAAGCGGCAATTTCCGGAGGTGCTTTCACTGCCAGTATGGTACTCTGTAAGATATTTTTTTATATAAATAACTCTTACTAACGCGGGAATATATGCCGATGGTTCACCATCAGATCTACACAGAAATTTACTATAAAATCTACTCTACTCACTGATCTGTAATAGATCATGTAGCAATTCTTTTGTGGACTCCTGCGATACGGGTTCACCTAATGCGGGGTCCAATGTATAATCAACTTTATAATATTTTGAATGTTTTAAAATAAACTGAAAGCTAATCTCGATCTCAAAAAGTCAGCTTTAACAGTAGTCTCGCGGAATACTTCTATCGGTTCCGTAGAATACCAGGAATTCGAACAACACCTTAATAACCATTGAACGGTGTACAGCTGTACGGGTATCTATTCCCCGTACTTGTTTGTAAGGTTGCGGGTGCAGGTGGAAACAAGAAAGACAAGTGTAATTATCCTCTCGAGCAGAGTTCGGTGGTCTGTACTAGCGATGGAAGCGGAATGAATTGTGCCGTTTTTTTTTTTTTTTTTTTTCGGACTACTCTAATGCTGTTGGCCGTAGCTGGCCTTTACAGCTTCACCGGACGTTATGGGGCGAGTGCAGATGGCACTCCAAACCCGCGGAAGGACTTATGGAGCGGCTGAAGGCCAACTCCTGCCCGACGGATACGACTTTAGTCTGAGGGCACCACTAGGGGTTCGAACCTCGGCTCAGGCCGTCGTAATTTCGATCCCCGTTTGAATTGGACGGGGGATCGATCGGAGGGGCGCCCGGGGGCGCCGGTGTGGAGCGCCCGGGCGCGCGCAGGCGCCCGGTTGAATGCGCGATATTGTGTGTTTGAGGTCGTCGTCTTCGCCGGCGAGGACGGTGTCGTGTGTGTGTGTAAAAGTGTGGTCGGGGTGGAACGGGTGGGCCCGTGGGGAGGTTACCTGCCGTTATGGGGTCGTCGGGGTCAATGAGAACGTGCCTCGGGCGACGTTGTCGCGTATGTCGGATATTACTCCTCGGTGCGTAGTCGACCGCACTGACTATAAGCGGATTAGGGTGGGATTGGGCAGAGTCGAAGTAGCGTCGAGACGCTTCCTTCATAAACTGCTTGATGGAGGGCAGATTAAGATCGCGGTGGAGATCTACGCTGCGAACGAACCACGGCGCACCGGTGGCTCGACGCAGAAACCTATTCTGAATGACCTGCAGTCTGTTGATTAAGCAGTAGGGTATGTGGGCGAATACGGGACTAGCGTAGGTCATGATGGGACGGATGCAAGCCTTGTATAATGTCAGCTTGTTGCGAAGCGACATTTTACTGTGCTTGTTAATAAAAGGATAGAGTCGCCCTAGTATAAAGGCGGCTCGGTCGCGGACACGCTTGATGTGAGGACGAAACGTTAGTTTCCTATCTAGGGTGACGCCGAGATATTTCGTTTTCGAAACCCACGGGATGTTTTGGCCGAATAGTTCGATCGGGTGATTCATAGAGTCGAATTCCCTGCTAAAGTACACTGCTGCACTTTTTTCGGGATTGACTTCTATGCGCCACCGACGGAACCATTCGCCCAGTATCGTTACGGCTTTCTGAAGCCGTCTGGCTATTGTCGCACGGGACTTGGCGGATGTAAAGAGAGCCGTGTCATCGGCAAACAGCGATATTTCGACTTTTAAGTCGGAGAATTTGGGGATGTCGTTGGTGTACAACGAGTAGAGCATCGGAGAGAGGACGGCGCCCTGAGGGACGCCGGCTCGTATGGGGTGCGGGTCGGATAACGCTCCGTTTATACGGTAGCGATAAGAGCGATTCGACAGGAAATCTCGTACAATGAGTACTAGCCTGTCGGGGACACCTAACTGATGAAGCTTGTAAATCAAGCCGTTGTGCCAGACTTTATCGAAAGCCTTAGCCACATCGAAAAATAGGACGCCTGTACCGCCTTTGGGGGACTTGGTGGCGAAGTACAGAGTGTTTTTGTGAATGTGCTCCGTGATGCGGTGCACTTGATGGACGCATGAGTGTTTGGCTCGGAAGCCAAACTGCTCATTGATGAGCAGGCCTTTGGAGTATATAAACTCCTTTAGGCGGGCGAGGAGGATTCGCTCGTAAAGCTTGCCTATAGCCTTGAGGAGGCTGATAGGACGATAACTGGACGGGTCGGATTTATTTTTACCGGGCTTGGGGATGCCAATGACCACGGCTTCTTTCCAGCTGTCTGGAAATATAGCGTTGGACAGCGCCGCGTTAAAAATAGCGACGAGTAATAACAAAAGTTGGGATGGCAGACTTTTGACTAATCTATTCGATATGCCGTCTGAGCCGGGTGATTTTTTGATAGGTAGTTGTTTAACTAGCGTTTTGACCTCATCAAGCGTGACTGGTGAGAGGGATTCGGTGGGCGGGGTGGACGCGATGCGTTCGACTTCGGTGTCTATCTTCTCGAGATGACCTGCCTCGACTGGGAGCGTGCTGGGGGAGCATTGGGCTTCTAAGTTGGACGCTAGACACTCAGCCTTGTCTTCGTCGAAGAAGGCTATAGTGTTGTCGGGTCGGTGAATTGTGCCGCGTTCGGCACCTATATTTATACTCCGCCCGCTCGCACCGTGTCACGTACTAGGTAACGATTGTGTTACGCACATAGGTGCGAGCGGGACGGATAGCGCGAAAAGACCACCTCTACTCGCTCCTTTATTTATTAATTTAAACTTTACAATACAATTATTTTTACCTATTAGGGAATTGAAACTACTACAATTATAAATTTTATTAAGCTAACAATAATCAAATATTTACAATAGTCGCGAACATATCTCCCGCCGCAGCTAAGCTGTATTTAATTCGAGTTCGCGTGGTTCGATTGGCAGGATTACTAATTTCTTCGTAGGCCGCCGAAGTATCCCCTTGTTAGTGCGCACGTCGACCGCCCGTATTTCACCATCCGGTCCCGGATACGTAGCCACCACCACGCCGCGCGGCCAGGAGTTCCGAGGCAGGTTGCCGTCCGCCACCAGCACCAAGTCTTCTAACTTGATGACTCCGTGTTTAGCTCGGGGCTCCCGCCGGTGTTGTAGCTGTATTGTGTGGGCGCGCTCTTCGCTTGTATTTTCCGTCTGGTGGGAATCGTCTTCATGAGACCACTCTTCTTCTGGTCGATATAGAAATTGCGGCCCCCGGAACCATCTGTGTGTTGAAGTGAAGTGGTGTGGTACGTCGCGTGTGGCATCATCCGCGACGTTGTCGGCCGTCGGCACCCATCTCCACTCGTTCGTTTTCGTATCTTCCATAATTTCAGCGACTCGGTGAGCGACGAAGGGCTTGAATGCACGTGGACCGGTGCGTAACCAAGACAGTACGGTACGCGAATCCGACCAGTAGACACGACGGGCAGGTTTCAGATCGTGTTCTTCGACCGCCGTGCGTGACAGGCGGCTCCCTAGTACGGCCGCTTGCAGCTCCAGACGTGGTATAGTGGTGACCTTGTTCAAAGGGGCCACTCTTCCCTTGGCTGCGATGAGTGACACACGCACCTCGCCGGTCACGCATACGGCCCGCCAGTATACGACACAGGCGTATTCATCTGAGCTCGCGTCGACGAATGTGTGAAGCTCCGTCGTACGTGCCGTCGCCACACCGGGGTAACACCGTGGTATTACCAAGTGGGGTAACTGCTGTGCGTGCGATATCCAGCTCCGCCACGCTGCTGCTTCCCGTTCTTGCAGTTCGGTGTCCCAGCCGATACCCGTGCGCCACGTTTCTTGTAATATCTTCTTGGCTTGTATTGTGACGGGTGTGGCCAGGCCCAATGGGTCGAACAGCGACATAACGGCGCGGAGGGCTTCTCTCTTCGTTGGGGTGCGTTCGTCTCGTATGATGTGTAACGGAAGTTTGTTCCCGTTGAAGTTGAACCCGAGACTGTCTTCCTCAGGCCGCCACACCATACCCAGTATCTTCTCAGCGTCGAGTTGCACCATGTTCTCTTCATTTCTATGTGAGAACTCTTCTCGTACATGGCGCGAGTTCGATGCCCAGCGCTGAAGATAGTAGTTCGCCCGGCTGTGGATGTAGGCGACCTCGCTTGAGACTCGTACGGCTTGCTCTTCAGTGTCGAAGCTAGCGAGGTAGTCGTCAACATAGTGATTGACAACCACCGCTGCAGCCGCCTCCGGGAACTCTTCTTTATGTAGTTCGGCGTTCTTGTTCTTCACGTATATCGCCGTGCATGGCGACGAAGTGGCCCCGAAGATGACGCTCTTCATCCTATATTCGACAGCTGGACCCTGGCGTCGATCTCCTCTCCATAGAAACCGTTGCATGTCTCGGTCTTCTTCTCGTATTGTGACACGCATGAACATATCCTTGATGTCCGCTGTGACCGCCACACGGCGCTGTCGGAACCTCATGAGGACCCCAGGTAGTGATTGGAGTAGGTCGGGTCCCGACAGCAGCATGTCGTTGAGACTAATGCCCCTTGTCTTGGCGGCGGCGTCGTGCACGATGCGCAGCTTGTCCGGTTTCTGTGGGTTGATGACAGCGAAGTGTGGCAGGTACCATACTCGTTCAGTCTTCACCGGTGGGGCGATTTCTGCATATCCCCTTTCTAACAGCGTGGTAATTTGCTGTTTATATCTGTTCTTCATGTCTTCATTCTTGTCGAGTTTTTTCTCAATTAACTCGAGGCGTCGCATTGCTGAGTCGTAGTTAGCCGGCGGCGTTGCGTTGTCGCGTTTCCATAGCAACGCGGTCTCGTAGCCTCCCGCCGGTAACGGGCGAGTTTTTTCTTGCAATATTTTCAGCGCGCGTTGTTCCTCTTCATTGTATGAGCGCTTCGGTGTGACGCCCAGTGATTCGAGAGCGAAGTGTTCTTTCATTAATCGCTCTATGGATTCTTCATTTTCTTGCCCGTCGACTAAGTGACTGATTCTGTGCACTTGCTGTCTCGCTCTCGCCGCTCCCGTGCCGTGCAACACCCAACCCAGGTCGGTGAGTGATGCGACCGGTTGTGTCTTATTGCCTCTTCTGACTTCATGTGCGAGCAGCAAATGCCAGTTGTCTTGACCCAGCAGAACCGTCGGTTGACCTTCTTCATATGTCAGCTGATCTATTATATCGTACAAGTGTGGACAGTCTTCTATTGCGCTGCGTGATACTGTTTGTGGAGATAACAGTAGTTTCTTCATGGTTCGCGCAGACACGGCATGATCTTCCGATCTTCGTCCCCGTATTGTGAAGTGGACAAGCTTCGATTCATCGGCGTTTATGCGTGTCCCGGCCACGGCCTCTATGTAGAAGGGTGCGGGAGGGCCAGTGGCGCCGATTTGCTTCGCTGTTGCTTCTTCGATGATGGTGCACGTTGCGCCGTCGTCCAGGAGTGCGTATGTATCGCACGTTCCTTTGGGACCGATCACTTGTATCGGCACTATCTTGAGGAATGCGATCTTCTTATCTTCTCTCGCAGACGCGACGACTGCGGCTGCTTTATCATCGGAGGGCTCGCTGTCCTTCTTCTCTATGGTGTCGACGTGCAGGAGTGGGTGATGTAGGTGTGTACACCCACCAACGTTGCATCTCTTCGTCTTGCAGTTGTGACGAAATCTTTTTATCCTCAGGCAACGGAAACATAGCCTGTGTTTTTTTGCTATCTCCCATCTTGCTTGTGGCTCGGCGTTCTTCACAGTGATGCAATCGGGTGGTGCGTGTCCCTCCCTGTTGCACGTCGGACACGGCGGTGAAGTCGGTTTCTCCTGCGTGATGTATGTTTTCACGCTTCTCTTCGTTGCTGGCTCCCGCCGGTCTTCATTTACTATTATTTCGGCGGGTGCGAAGTCACCGCACCTGGCTGCGGTGATTTGCAGGAACTTGGAGAGCGTTATCAGGTCCGGTTGATCAGCTGGCTGTTCTGCTACGAAGTCGTAGTATTTGAATCGTAGCGCAGAAGGCATCTTCTCCGTGATGGATCTTGTCACTTCTTCGTTGTACAAATAGTGGTTCTTCTTCAGGGCTTGAATTGTTGCAGTGACATTGGCTATTCTGGACGCGAATAGACAGATGTCCTTGGGGTTGTCTGACAGCCGCGGCAGCGCACGAAGTTTATTCATCTCGGCCATCACGAGTGCTCCTGGACGGCCGAACCTCGTAGCAAGTAATTGTATTACTTCTGCTGCAGACGTATCCCCAACGAAAAGACAGTGTGCAGCCTCTTTGGCCGCACCCTTTAAACACCGACGTAATCTACCCAAGTTTTCTTGCTCGGTCAGCTGCCCCGCAGACTCTTCGTAAGCCATCTTCCAGGGCAGCCATTCGCTTGACGCGCCGTTGAAGGGTGGTAGTTCTGTGACTCGCGGCACTGTGGAGGGCTGAATTGCGCGAGCTGCCATAGTCATAGCAGTCGCCAATTCCTTATAGTCGATGCCCCCTTTCAGTGAATCCTCTTCTTTCTTCGTTGGCATCATCGGTGCTATGGAGTCTTCCCTCGGACCGTTGTGGCTTGCATGGTCCCGTCGGAATGCGTCGCTGCACGGCTGCGGCTGCGGCGCTTTCGTTCCCTCTCCGGCGGGTATCGATGAGATATTAATCCCCTGATGCAAGTCGGCGGTCGTCCTCTCTGTGTGCGGCTCCATTGTGAGTGCCAATGTGCTCGTCCGGCGAATCCAGTCCGTAGTCCTCTCTCTTCTTAATGTGGCGGCGTCCTCTTCATTTTCGTCCTCCTCTTCGTCGTCCGTGTCCGCCTCCAATGCTGCGACGCGTGCGGCGGCCAGTTCTACCTCCTTGCGTAGCAATTCTTCTCTGGCTTTAGCCAATTCTTTCTTCTTTTTTGAAGCTGTGGTGCGCGGCGCCCTTGGAATTGTTGTGGTAGTCTCCGCAGAAGTCTCCGCGGAAGTCTCCGTGGTAGCAGTAGGTTCCGAGGACGTGTACGTCGTGGTGGTCGACGTAGTGGCGGCAGCAGGCGACGTAGTGGCGGCGACGGTCGGCGTAGCGGCGACAGGCGACGTGACGGCGGCGGTGTTTTCTTCGTTTGATTGAGCTTCCATGGCTGTTCTTTGGCTTCTTGTTGTTGGCATCTGTGATCTTGATCTCTGTGCAGTCTTGCTTTCTTCTTCCAACAATCCGGCTTCTCGAAGGACCAGATGGTCTTGCTTTCTTCTTCCAACAATCCGGCTTCTCGAAGGACCAGATGGTCTTGCTTTCTTCTTCCAACAATCCGGCTTCTCGAAGGACCAGATGTACGGGTATCTATTCCCCGTACTTGTTTGTAAGGTTGCGGGTGCAGGTGGAAACAAGAAAGACAAGTGTAATTATCCTCTCGAGCAGAGTTCGGTGGTCTGTACTAGCGATGGAAGCGGAATGAATTGTGCCGCGTTCGGCACCTATATTTATACTCCGCCCGCTCGCACCGTGTCACGTACTAGGTAACGATTGTGTTACGCACATAGGTGCGAGCGGGACGGATAGCGCGAAAAGACCACCTCTACTCGCTCCTTTATTTATTAATTTAAACTTTACAATACAATTATTTTTACCTATTAGGGAATTGAAACTACTACAATTATAAATTTTATTAAGCTAACAATAATCAAATATTTACAATAGTCGCGAACAACAGCAATATAATAATATTATACATATTAATTTTCTTTCCAGTGATAGCAATAAACGGAAAAAACAGACGTTTCTATCTTCTGTAACATTTGCCACAACGCTTATTTTTGATTACAACTCTTTCTACCCCATCTGGAATAACAGTTATAAGGCTACCTATGTAGATACATATGTAGATATATATAAGATATGGTATATATAGATATATATACCATATCTTATCTTATTATTAATATTATAAACCCAAATGTTGGATGGATGGTATGTTTGTTACTCTTTCACGCAAATACTACCGAACGGTTTTGATAAAACTTTACAGTAATATAGCTTGTGCATCGGAATAATATATAGGCTATAAATTTAGTGCAGGTGAAACCGCGGGTACAGCTAGTATACCATAATGTTATTACAATAGAATTAATAGTACATACCTATGTATATTAAAAAGTGTATACCACATATAGAAATCTTTGTTTCCAGTGATAGAAATAAGTGGAAAGAAACAGAGGCTTTTATCTTCTGTGCTATTTGCGTACGCCATTTACGTTGGAGAATCACTTTTCGCTGTCCTTGCAATGTTTATTCCATACTGGAAAACTCTTGCACGCATCATATACACACCAGGGATTGTTTATCTCGCTCTAATTTTCTTTATCAGAGAGAGTCCGCGATGGCAATTGTTAAATGGTAAAACTAAAGAGGCAATTGAAACCTTAAGATTAATAGCAAAGACGAATAATTTGAAAATCAACGACGTAGTAACAGAATCGGACGAGGAGAAATTAAAAAGTAAACTCAATATTGGGGAGACTGTTATGAAGGAAAGTTATAAGAAGATTTTTACATCAAAACAGATATTAAAACGTATATTGGTGGGGACAGTGAGTCGTTTTACATCAAGTTTTGTGTATTACGGGCTGATAATAAACGCAGTATGGCTGCCTGGGAACAGATATACAAACTTTTTGTTGTGCACAGTGATGTCGTTTCCAGGCGAACTTATATCTTTGTATTTAATGAATAAAATTGGAAGAAAACTGCCACTTATTGTTGGATTTGCCGTTTGTGGGGCGTTGTGTGTAGGATCTGGTTATGTACCTACATGTAAGTATAGGTATCTACATATTTTTTGTATTGTTAAATTTGAATGGCAAATAAAATTGGTACCACCTAGCATGAACAGCACTAAGAACATCATGTTACAACCATATTACCACTAATGCGTTGGTATTTCAGATGTCATGACTCTTATCCTACAATTTCACTACCTAATCTGACTCCTATAACAGAAGAATCTTAAAGCTTTTGTGGGCCTTCGACCGCTCTATAAGATCTTCCACGGGTTTGAAGTGTCCTCTGCACTTACCTCCAATTTTGTCTGGTGAAGCTGTCTGGCCAACTACGGCCAACAGTATTAGAAAGAACTTAAAATGAACAATAGAAAGCCCAAACAACGTTTAAATGAGTTTCTTATCACACTCTTTTTAAATCTTATTGCTTTACGAGTGCATTTCAATCTAACTTTTCTCTACAGCACTGGTTTGGTTGAAGATAACTCTGTTCCTATTGGGCAAAGTGGTGATATCTTCATGCTTCACTGGGGCTGTCACCTACAGTATGGAGCTGTTCCCCACCAACGCCAGAGGCACTCTACTCGGAGTGTGCGGCTTCGCTTCTATTCTGGGCAACATGCTTGCTCCTTTATCACCCATGTTGGTAAGTGATTTAATATATATTATATTTTTTTGAATGTCTGTTTATAATAGTAGTAACAGGTAACTTCTTGATTAGAAAATTTAGACAGAGAATAGATACTTTTACAGATATGTACATATTCTTTAACAACATATCATAAATTTATGTGGAAAAATATATCTTTGTAATGATTGCAAAATTGTAAAAAGATTATTATTATAATGGATATATTAAAAACCCTAGATTAAATTGTTTCATGAAAGCGGGTATTGTATGTTTGTTTGCTTGTAATATCTTTTATCTACTCGTGAACAAAACGTTTTTAAAGACATCGAAATATCACCTTCAATATCCCTTTTATACATTCAAACCAAAACGAAATGCTTGATAATTTAATATTTGAAAAATTTTTCACCTTTAAAAATATATTTTGTCATGGAGTAATATGACTTTTTTGCATATACACCACATGCAAAAAAGTCATATTACTCCGTGACAAAATATATTTTTAAAGGCTTAGCTAGCAACTACTAGCTACCCATTTCGACGGCCTTTGAGATAGCTATTCTATATCACTGTGATATATCTTTTTAAGAATTCACATGATATCCTACATCGAATATATTATTTTGTTTCAGTATGTAATATCATCCTCCCTTCCCACGATATTATTCGGAGTGTCTGCAGCTGTGACAGCTGTACTAATAACCATCACACCTGAGACGAAAGAACTGCCCCTATTCGACACCGTCGAACAAGTTGAAGCCAGTATGAAAGCGAAATCTCATCCAAGTAACGAGAAGACTACAATATCTACTATTACATGAGTATTATTACAAAGGCCTCACATTATTAAGTGCCCGAACTACTCGACGACGGTTTTCGATTGGTGCATTTCCAAAGAGGGCAGGGCCTAACAAAAAATACACCAATAGAATGGCGTCGTTCACAAACATCAGCTTATAATGTGAGCTGACTCTTATACGGAAATTATTGTTAGTGTAATATTCTTTGGAAATTTATTTATTGCCATTTGTGTACGAAAGTATAGAGAATGTAACGCGAAATAAGACAACACTGTCTTTTTTATTTAATATAACCTTTTATAAATATTTAGTATTTTTATTTCATCGGCTTCGAAATGATAGCTTTGATGTCACATAGGCTATAAATTTCATGCGAGTGAAACCGCAGGCACAGCTACTGTATTACAATATTACCTCACCCGGGCAATTTCGTCTTACTTTACATTTATAATTATATTTCGCCTAAATTGGGTAATATCTCTGTAAATGCGTTATCCTGAGTAAAAGCTATATTACTATAAAATTTCATCAAATTCATTCAATAGTTTTTGCTTGAAAGAGTAACAAACAACCGTTTATCCATGCAAACTCACGAGCTTTCGTATTAACTTTATAACGCTCGAGTGACTGAAATTATAAAAATGTGCTTTTGGCATATTATCGCAATATTTTTATTTTCTAAACCGTATTAGTGCTTAATATTTAACCGATACCAAAAACTTTCTTTGTAAATTTAAATTTCTTACGACTCTATGATATTTAAGGCACAGATAACAAACCAAATTGATGCCAGACCTTCGGCTGATGTTGGATTCAAATATACTCTGTGAAATGAGGGAAGCCAACGCGTTTGTAGTAGATAATGCCTACACTGATAATGTCTGATGTATGTAAGAAATGAAATGAAATGAAACGTTTATTTGCGAGGAATGTGATACGCATTATGGAATCGGTACATATAGTTCCACCCATTCTGCCTCCAAATTTTATATTAATGAATAGTAAAGGCTTTAGTAAAAAATTATATAATTCTAGACAGATTACATAATACAATAAAAAAATGTTATATAATAAATATTTATATTTATATTTCACCGCCAACAGTTATTCCCTGCACCACCCGAGATTGACTGGTAGATAATGCCGCATGGTGTTAAGTCCGACATATGTTCTTTGAAATTATTAAATTATATGCGTTAAAGTAAAATAAATAAATATTATTGTTTAGTCATTTTTAGCATTCATTATATAACAATTTAGTCCTTCTCGACTAAAGGACTTTAAGTAACTGGATCAAGCTGATGGTCCACACGATGGTAAGTGGTAACAGTTAAAAATATGTTAAACGCGGGTGTCACATTATAACATGACATCTCGCTATCAAGTAGCCCATGATACTACTCATTCCGAATTACTGTTTCTTTCACCGCCCTATCTTACCGACCGAAAATACAACTTACAAAGCAGAAAACTCTACTGAGTACAAAAAAATGTATATTGTAAGTACGGCTTACAAATCTTGACTAGAAATAATTCAGAGGTTAGATAGGAAGTGCTCAATGTTGTGGATGTATTATATAAAAAGAGCAATGTCCGCTACACTACTAATCTCAGCTATAAAACAGCAGAAAAGTGATAAAAAGTGCTGACGGTGATCTCAATTTCAATATTTTTAGACATATATATTCAATATATTCGACAGTTTTGGAATATTATTAATATCATATTAACAACATTAAATAAATTCTTGAGGCAATTGAGATTTGCGTTACGAGCTAACGAACACATTTGTTTACACTTCGAACGGTTCGCAACTTTTTTAGTTACAGGTTTAGTTAGTAAATTTTTTTACAGTATTTAGACTGTAAATTATTAAATCTAATTCTTGAATTTATGTTAGAAATACGTAGTTTAAATAATTTTATTTTAGCTTTGCGTAAAACGTAATATCTAAGTTTATGTTCATATTCACAATAACGATTCTAATTTCATAGATATTAAGATTTATGTTAATATCTATATTCAGGAGATCAAGTCCGGATAATCTTTTCTGTGGTAATCGTTCAACTAAGATTTTACTTTGAAAAGTGTAGAAAACGATGTACCTGTCTGCTACAACTCACAGACTGACATAGTTGTCAGTATTTGTAAGAATTTTTTCCTTAAATGTATGTAGACATTCAGTAAGAACGATGCTTGTTATAAAGAAAACAATCAATTACTTATCAATAAATTGTACATTATTTACGATACAAAATTAAAGTTTAAACTTACTACAATAAATTATATTGTAACTTAATAAAAGAACATAACAATGAAATATTTATAAGATTATAAATTTTAGGTGCCCCCGGCTGTAAAGATTTACACTATCGGACACCAGTGGAGGATCACGCACAACGGCCCACATGATATTGCGGAGAATGGAGTCCAACTTACATTGCATTACATTACATCACTAGTAGAGGATGAAAACGTGAATGATGTCTAGTCATAACTAACTCATTCATGTTTAACAAGGGCAACGCCCTTACTGACAAATTCAACAAAAATTTATCTCGATGCTTTCCAGGGGAAACTAGGTAGAAGTCAACATGGTACACAGCTGAGAGTGGGGTTATTAGTCTATTACTAACTATTAGAGTTGTGGAAAAGTCCGTGCCCACAACGGCGAATCTTCGCTTACTAGACGCAAATAATTAATATGGAATTGGCCCCATTAATATTAATAAAACAGGACCAATGTTTCAATCATTCAAATCACTTGTTATTATATTATTTGCCTTTCGCTTTATTGCGGTCTATAGCTATAAACATTTTTATTATTCTTTCTCTCAATAATTTGACATTCTGTAAACATCTTAAGTATTTCATTCTGGCAAATACAATTATACGTATGAGTGAGAAGCACAAACATATTTCTTCTATAAATTCAACCGAAAAAATATTTTTTTCGAGGCTAATTTTAGACATCCAATCTATGTAACATCATATGATAAAGTAGAATATCATAAGCACTTCTAAAGCATTAAATTTTTGGTTTATGAGTTAACAACACTGCCACTTTGAAAGATAATGAAAAAATGGTCTATGATTAAGAATGAACAAATATAATATATTATCATTTATCACTATTTATTTTTAATGCTTTACAAATTAGTATAATAATAATAATTCTTTATTTATATGACGTCATTTAATTAAATTAATGCAAGGAATTTTCTGAAAGGATATTTGGGGACACGACAACGAAATTAGAAAATTAGTATTTTAATGAGTTCAGATATAAATTTATGTACATACATTATAATGTTGTTTCTATGTATCCAGTAATTAATATTTCTGTGCATTTTTAGAGGACCCATCACCAAAATACAAGTGGTATTCATAATATATACATATAAATGCTGATGTACTGATTATGCTGATGTGTGTTGTCCTGATCTCAATGAGGAGCTTCTTAATAAGTTGGATCAGCTCATAAATAACTCCATTCGTTTCATTTTCAACCTTTATAAATATGATCATATTTCTTCATAGCGTTATCAACTAAAATGGCTCCGTATTCGCCAGCGTAGGCAACAGCAATTAATTTGCACTCTTTACTCTATCCGTTTTGATCCTGCTTCCCCGAAATATTTGAAATGTAAATTTCAATACTTCCGGAATTCTCGTGATCGTCAGCTGTGATCTATAAATGGTCTCCTTCTTCTTACTCCTCTTCATAAAACTTCTTTCGTCCCCCACTCATTTAGGCTACAAATTTCACGGCTCTGGAACTCACTCCCAGAACACATTCGAGTACTTACCAATTAAGTATGTAATTATTGTATTTATTGTATTAAAAAGTAGGTTAATTCTATATATGTATGTAAGTATTTAGTTATGTGTATTTTTTTTATTAAAATTCTATTTTAATTTTAATAGCCGCATTCATGTATCCTTAAGGTTGACTGGGAGAGAATGCTGTAGCATTAAGTCCACCTTTTGTACCAATTTTAGAGGTCAATAAAGCAAATAAATAAGTAAAATAAATATATATATACAAGATTTGTTCATATTATATAGTTATGTAATACTACTATTACACAACCTCGTGTTCATTTTATTGAGATAATTATGATCCGTGACCCCTATTTATCTATAACAGACATCACAATCATTAAATGTCATACAGACAAAATATAATTTAGTACATAATTTGTGCAATATAGACAAAAAAACTGATATGTAATTATGAAGAACACATTAGTTATGGGGCCGACTATGGAACTCAGTACACTATTGTAAAACAAAATATTATCATGCAATCAAACGATGGAATATATGTAATATATTCTTGGTGTTTCCATTACTGAAGACTATATATGTAAATATATATATATGTATAAACATACATACAAAGTTTTATTGATATTAAGTACAAATACCCGACGTTATGATATATAGTAAACCACTGAGCTGAAACGTCCTCAACCAATCAATTTATAATTAACCAAGTTCATTATCATCTACCTTGGTGGTATTTATGATCTAAGTACATAATATAATATATGATATTTGTCCGACATAAGCTATATATACATACTAGTATATGTATATAATAACATCTCTCCACAATGTATCGTCGCTGTTACGCGGTTTAATTGCCAATTAATTATTACACACATCTTCGAATCAAGCGCACGCGTTTTTTTTTAATATTCGCATATCAGAAGAGTTCGTGCGTATAAAATACACAATCACATTAAATACATTATGAATTATAAATAATAAAGAATAATACTAGCAAAGCTATTTTTTCTTTTATTGTGTGTTAAATGAAATATAAATTTGTGTGAAAAAATACTAGTAATATATATATTGTTTTAATTTGTTGTACATAGTGTCAGTGCTGGCCGTTTTCATAAATTAAATGGGGGGAAGTAAAAAAAATAAAGATGTACCGCCTAAAGTATACGACATGTGGGAGATTACGGAAAAGTTTGGAAAGTATCAAATATTACAATATGTTTGCATATGCTTCGGTATCGTATTTGTTACAATTGCAAACATTAATTATGTATTTATTGCTGGTGATCTTAACTACAGGTAAGAAATAGAATAGACATTATTTCCTTAGTAGTATTATATATAAACTCGAATGATAATTAAAATTTTTATACCCTAATGGATTTTGAAACGTTACTAATCTATATATCTAATCTATAAAACACAGTGGTTGTAACAAAACTCCTCGGAAAGAGCTTGTCCAAATCTTATAAAATTTTATATGTGTATGTTCAGTAGATCTGAGAATAGGATGTAATTTATTTTTCATACCCCTAAGTGCTAAGGATGATCCTCCTCAAGTTTTTTGAAAATTATTTTATATTATTTTTGCAACCCTAAATTTTTAGATTTAACATGACATCTTTTTTTCCAGGTGTCGAATACCAGAATGTGAGAGTACGGAGGCTGCATATGAACCCCCACCGTGGGGGTCTAACGAGTCCGTTGACAGATGTTCGAAGCCTATTCTGAACGAAAGCTGGTCGCAAACACAGTCGTGTACGGCCGACAGTTTCTCCAATTTAATAGAACCCTGTACAGGGTGGATCTACGAGACTAACAACACTATTGTAGCGGATGTAAGTTGCATTTTATCAACGATATTATAATGCAAACATGGGAAAATTTATTAAGCAGTGAAATTTCTTGATACGGCCGCATGACATCGTAGACCTCCTAACAGACAATGTATAAGAGGTTCCATGCGTGTCCCGACATAGCAAGATTTTTATAGTACTGTTAACTTATATACAAGACGTTTGTTACTTAACGTTTGCCGTTTCAATTACATAAAAGAAAATTATCTTTTTCTTAGTAAATCTCATTTAATTATCACATGATTTTTGTTTTCTGCAATATATATATTTCATTCATAATAATTTAAGAGGCACGCTCTTGTCGGTGGAGCTGTTGCCATTTTCCACTACCTTCCGTCATTTACCTTAAATTTTCATACGACACGAATCCAGTTTTGTCTTTAATTTGCCAATGCAATTGTAACTATGCCCTGTTCTTCCTCTCTCGTTTTTTCTTCATAAACTTATTGTGGCATATCAAGTGTTTGTCCAAAATTTTCCTTCGTCTATTTTCAATAGTATTCAATATTTGCCTTTTTCTACCATTTTTTTTTATAATTTATCTCAATACTAATATTCATAAAATTACTGTGCCATATCAAGTGTTTTAGGGCGAGCACAATAGATCTATGTAGGTCGCAGTGCTACAGGTGCTACAAACATCTGGCAATAGCCCACACAACCCAATAAAAAAAAATAAAAAAAAGTGTTCCCCCAATGTTTTCCCAGATGCTTTTAATTATATTCTGTAAGTTTTAATTATTATATCACGGGGAGTGTTCTGAGGAATTGTTCGGATTAATACCAGCTGCTGAGTTTCACCACCGTACCACACGCCAGCAACTAAAATACCATCCTGATCATCTGGATGAATGGCGGTCTTCCACAGTACGGTTTTCTAGAAACGTTTTGCCTCGCACAACCACATTGTGGAATCACCTTCCAGCAATGGTATTTCCGAACCGATACGATATCGAAACCTTCAAGAAAAGGGCTTATTCCTTTTTAAAAGGCCGACAACGTACTTGCAATTCCCCTGGTGTTGCGGGTGCTCATGGGCGGCGGTAATCACTTACCATCAGGTGAGCCGCATGCTCGTTTGTCCCCTGTGTTATAAAAAAATATATATTATTAAAACTTACAGAATATAATTAAAAGCATCCGTCTATTCTGAATAATTCGAACATGCTGTTTAAAAAAAATGCTTTAAATATACTTTAGAGAAATATTAATTCTATTTAGAAAAATAATAGTCTCTTTTAAAATACCAGTATGCACTTCTACTTATTGGATTACTTGTTCTTATTGAATTACATGTACCGTAAAATCTACTTCAGAGAAATGTTTATTAAAGAAAACAATAAAATCTCTTTTAATAAACTTCATAATACCACCTGTAAATGATTATTACCACTATTTATTAACAAATTAGAGGACGACTGATAATGTAATCTCTGTGTGGGGTAATAAAATATATTTTTGCTACACACTGTCACTTCCTCACTAAAATGACATAACAATTACACATGTGCAAATTGTACACAGATAATGCGGTTATTTAAGGAGCCCTAGTTGAGAAAACCCAACACGTAAATTTACGTGTTTAAATAGATCGTCATGGAAATGATAACTGTTTAAATAGTATAGAATACAATTCAGCATGACAAACTATTAAGTTGTTCATAATAGGAGTTTTTAAGATGCTATCAACATTCTAAGAATTAAAATAAATATTATTAGAAATCCAAATTTACAAAAAAGACATTAAATTTGTATTAAATATCGAAAATAGCGTGTACATATGGCGGACTCAACACCTTGCGGCGTCATCTACCAAGCAACCATGAGTGGTGTAGAGAAAGATCGTTGGCGATGCACTAATATAAATGAGACATGTCAAAAATATGTATATAAGGCAAAACATATATAAATTTCTACAAATTTCTAATATCTCAGGTCAATTAAAACAGCGGCAATTAGTTACAAGCAGAGCTTGTGTTATGGGTACTACACAACTTATATATATTCATAGATACGTTTTTTGTAAATACTTATATATAATATAAATAGAAAATTGAATGCATTGTCACTTGTCATTTGGACAAAATTTTGTTTCTATTATTATGTAACTGGATACTTACTTAATTTAATTTGTGAACTTATGTGTGATAAAGTGAATTTGATTTGTAACATGTAATAACTTTTTTTTTTTTTTTTTTTCTTTTTAATTTTTTCTTTACAAGTAGTCATATTATATGTAATAGTAATGTTTATTTGTATGTAAATTTTGCATTCAATAACGTAAATTGTGAACTTGTAGTAATAAATATTGTTCGTTTTAAGTTTTTATCAGCAGTTGGCCGGCGGTTTGTGCATTGCAACAGTGTTGGCGTATCGTTGCATTTAATTATTTATATATTGTATATACTTATATTGTAGGATATATATATATATATATATATTATTTTTATCTAGTTTATTCTAAAATGTCTGATAATGATTCATTTTATACAGCCCATAGTTCTAATAATTCATTCGAAGCACTTGATGAGTCACTATCCGAGCGTTCTCTCTCCGCGCATCTCTCTAATGAACTTGTGAACACACGACGTAATTTGAATATTTGCCATATTAACGCTCAAAGTTTACCACAGCACCATGGAGAAATTATGAACACCTTTACTTCTAATACTGTGGATGTAATCCTGGTGTCTGAAAGCTGGTTAAAACCCACCATACCCTCAACCTATGTAAGTTTACCTGGCTATATTCTGTTGCGGAATGATCGGACTGATAGACGGGGAGGTGGCGTAGCTATTTACCTACGAAGTGGTTTCACTCATAGAACTTTGTTTAGTTCATCCCTCTCGGGAAGTGCTGAATATTTATTCGTGGCGGTTGATGTTAGGGGAACTAAGATCGTTCTCGGTGTTGTTTACTGTCCTCCTTCCGTTGATTACTTTCAAGACGTCGAATCTGTTTTTGAGGTAGTTATGGCGGAACACACACATCACATTATTATGGGTGATTTTAATACTGATTTGCTCCATGACACACACAGATCCCTTAAACTGCGCAATATAATGAAGTCAGCAGGCCTTTCGGTATTACCCCTTGGGCCTACTCATACTAATATAAATTCTCCAGACACTTGGCTCGATCACGTTTTTATTTCATCACCAGAATCTGTACTGAAACATGGTCAGTTTTCTGCACCAGAATTCTCAAGACATGACCTTATATTTGTTTCGTACAACATTAAAACTTTTAAGCCAAAACCAGCCGTAGTTCGCCTTCGCAATTTCTCCAGAATTGATATAACGAAATTAGACCAGGATATGACTAACGTGGATTGGTCATGTGTACTTTCTGCTTCTTGTATAAATGACATGGTGTCCGCGTTTAATCTCTCTGTGCTCCATATCATGAATAAGCATGCACCGGCCCACCTTGTCAGGGTTAAAAGACGACCAGCTCCCTGGATAACAGAAGCAGTACGCATGTCCATGAGAAAACGTGATCGGGCTTTTAGGGTTTTCAAAAGGGATCGTTGCGAGGAGAACTGGAAGAATTTTAAATTAGCACGTAACCGTTGCAACTATATGGTAAGAGCTGCTAAACGCCGTTACATCCACTCTAATATTCAAAATTCCTCATCGGCCAATATCTGGAAATTTCTCAAATCACTTGGGCTGTGCAATCAGCCAAATGATTTTTCCTCACAGTTTTCATTAAATGACCTGAACAGGCACTTTTCCACCGTTCCCATTTTGAGCGATTCTCAGAAATCCATTACTTTAGCTGAGATAACTTCATGGCCTAGACTTTCTGTAGATTTTTTATTTTCACCAGTTACTGACGATGAAGTCTACAAGATAATATCTTCCATAAAGTCCAATTGTATTGGTTCAGATGATGTGAGTAGGATTATGGTTACTCTCTCACTTAAACACTTGCTTCCTATCATTACTCACATCATTAACTTTTCTTTAATTTCTTCCGAGTTTCCTGCAGCATGGCTAAATGCTTTCGTTCTACCACTACCTAAAGTATCATCCCCACAACTTCTTAAGGACTTTAGACCTATATCAATCCTGCCTTTCCTCTCTAAAATACTAGAAGCTGTGGTCCACAGACAGTTATCTGATTTTGTTTTTAAAAACAACTTAGTAAGCCCCTACCAGTCTGGTTTTCGCCCTGGACACAGCACCACTACTGCTCTTCTGAAAATTACTGAGGATGTGAGGGAAGGTATGGAGCAATCTAAATTAACAGTTCTCGTTTTAGTCGATTTCTCTAATGCATTTAATATCGTTGACCATGATGTCTTACTCGCTATCCTTTCACGTCTTGGGATTTCATCGTCAGTTGTTAAATGGTTTAGCTCCTATCTTCGTGGACGTCAGCAGGCAGTTCGTGCCAATCAGGCATTATCGGATTGGTGCGATCTTGTTACTGGTGTTCCTCAAGGCGGTATTTTGTCTCCATTACTTTTCTCTATCTTTATAGATTTTATTACTAAAGTTCTTAAATGCTCTTACCATTTGTACGCAGATGATCTCCAGATCTACTCCCAGGCTGTTGCATCGGAGCTCAGTGATACCATCGGCCAATTGAATATTGATCTTGATCATATACTCAATTGGTCCAAAAAGTTTGGTGTTGCTGTTAATCCCTCCAAATGTCAGGCAATAGTCCTCGGAAGCAGTAAACAACTAAATAAAATTAATTTCAACACTTTACCTCCTGTTCTATTTAATAAACAACCAATTGCGTATAGTTCTCAAGTAAAAAATCTCGGTTTAATTATAGACAGTACTCTAAGTTGGAACAACTATGTTAGTGACGTTAGTCGTAAAGTCACAATTACACTGCGTAACTTACATAGATTGAAAAACTTTCTCCCTATAAGTACTAAAACTCTCCTTGTCCAATCATTAGTTCTCCCCACTCTTGATTATGCTGATGTGTGCTGTTCTGACATGAACGTAGACCTTTTAAACAAATTGGATCGGCTTCTCAACAATTCTATCCGCTTCATTTTTAACTTGCGCAAATTCGATCATATCTCTTCTTTTCGTTCACAGCTTAAATGGCGACCTATCCGTTATCGTAGAAATGTTCGTATGCTATGTACTCTCTATTCTTTTCTATATGATTCTAATTCTCCTGATTACATTAGCAATCAATTTCATTTCCATGGGGACAACACCATTCGCTCTATTCGCACGACCAGAAAATGTTTACTTCTTATACCGGCTCATTTGTCCGGTTTCATCCACTATTCTTTCGCCGTTCAGGCTATCAAACTTTGGAACGACTTACCCCTTGATATCAAGACCGCCACGAGTAAGTTTTCTTTAAAGCGTAAATTGCGGGAATACTATTCCAGCATGTAACTTTTCTATTATGTAGAATAGTTTTCCATTTTATCTTTTTGCGTTACTCATTGTTATCTGTACATCTTTTCTATGTTATAGTTGCTGAATTTGTTTTTTTTTTTTTTATTATGTTCTATCTGCTGTTGCTATATCATTGTCTGACTATTAAGTATGTTATATGTATGTATAAGTTATATGATGTGTATATGGTATATTTAGGTATGTATTTTATTCATATTTATCTATAGCTTTATATATATTGTATGTATTTGTATATGTATGTTTACATGTACTTACGTTTAGTAAATATATATTATTATTATTGATTACATTTGCACCGTCTACAGTTTCTCTGCACAACCTGTGGTTGACTGGTAGAAAATGCCGTAAGGTGTTAAGCCCGCCATATGTACTTTTACCTTGGTATGTTGTGCGTTGAAGTTATATAAATAAATAAATAAATAAAATTACCAGACCAATACAAACTATCATACTCATGAATTCAAATGTTTGAATCGATCCCGTAGCCCGCGGAAGTAATGCAGTATGCTGTACCGCTAGACCATCATGGCCGTCAATTTGATTTGTTGATGTTTTTTGTGTAATGAATTAATGGCATACAAGCTGACGGTCCATATGGTGGTAAGCAGTTACCGTCGCCTTTATACATATATAAAAAACAGCATTACGGACATCACGTTATCACGTGGCACCCATGATACCACTCAAGCCACTATTCCACAATGGCAAAGCGTGAGTGGTATCGCGAGGGGTAAGAGAACTAAGATGTCTCTTATGCTGTAATTTCACTTACAGTTGGACCTGGCGTGTGAACCTTGGAAAATAAATCTGATTGGTACAGTGCACAGCGTCGGCATGCTGGTCTCCATGGTAGTGGCCGGCTGGATGGCAGATAGGTATAAACCAAATCATCCTAACTCCTTACTAATATTATAAATGCGAAAGTAACTTTGTCAGTCTTGAAGTCAGAAAACGAAATTTGGTACACAGATACTCTAGACCTTGAAAAAGGTCATTGGTCATGAGTTGTAAAGGAGCGATGAATTGTATGGAAGTATTGTCATTTTTGAAGGTAGAACGATGAAACTTCTTATATTAGCTTCTTTGGGTTAGGTTTTTGAATTTTTTTTCATTTTTTATAATGAAGCAGACTAAGTCACAGACAAACTAGCACAACATTAAATACGAAATTAAATTGTTATGTTTCCTAGGTTTGGACGTAAACCAGCCGTAATATTCTGCGTAGTGGGCACGTGTATGGGGCATGTCAAGACTTTCGCCACGTCCTATTATTTGTACATAGCCATAGAGTGTATTGAAGCGACTTTCTCTGGAGGTGCTTTTCCTGCCGGCATGGTGCTTAGTAAGTTGATTGTACACTGAAATTAACAAGATATATTTATTTATTTTGAGAAATATAACGGTATAATTTCACACGTTATTAATCATATTGAATTGTCTATACTAATTAATAATGTTTAGCAATAATAAGTATAGCATCTAGTATAAGAAATGTGGGTATGTCAAGTATTACATTTGTCACAACGTTTATCTTTGACTAAAACTCTGACTACCGCATCCGGAATAACAGATATGAGGATAGCTATTAGGGTTCATGATTTCTCGAGCTTTTCAATTTCTCGGGTCTCGAAAATTCTCGAGATTAATTTCTCGGGTCTTCTCGGGTTGTCGAAAAAGAGAAATTTACATTTACGTACGTTTTCTCATATTATTTGGTTCCAATAACGTCAAAAAATTCAGTGGTTTTCCTCTCAAATAAAAGTATCAAATTAAACTTTTATTGAGTATATTTAAAAACATTAATATTATGAATAAATTATTATTTTTTTAATTAGAGAAATAATATTAGGTCCTTACATATGAAATTGGCGTTTTGTCGTACTGGCCACTTTGATCTCAAATATCTCCTCTTTTTTAGGAATTCCATTTCCAAATTTATACAGCTATTCACTTTGGGTCACTCATCTACTCGTTGTACACCAACGACATCCCTAAATTCTCCGACTTAAAAGTCGAAATATCGCTGTTTGCCGATGACATACCGATGACTGGCTCTCTTTACATCCGCCAAGTCCCGTGCGACAATAGCCAGACGGCTTCAGAAAGCCGTAACCATATTGGGCGAATGGTTCCGTCGGTGGCGCATAGAAGTCAATCCCGAAAAAAGTGCAGCAGTGTACTTTAGCAGGGAATTCCACTCTATGAATCACCCGATCGAACTATTCGGCCAAAACATCCCGTGGGTTTCGAAAACGAAATATCTCGGCGTCACCCTAGATAGGAAACTAACGTTTCGTCCTCACATCAAGCGTGTCTGCGACCGAGCCGCCTTTATACTAGTAAAATGTCGCTTCGCAACAAGCTGACACTATACAAGGCTTGCATCCGTCCCATCATGACTTACGCTAGTCCCGTATTCGCCCACATACCCTACTGTTTAATCAACCGACTACAAATCATACAGAATAGGTTTCTGCGTCGAGCCACCGGTGCGCCGTGGTTCGTTCGCAGCGTAGACCTCCACCGCGATCTTAATCTGCCCTCCATCAAGCAGTTTATGAAGGAAGCGTCTCGATGCTACTTCGATTGTGCCCAATCCCACCCTAACCCGCTTATAGTCAGTGCGGTCGACTACGCACCAAGGAGTAATATCAGACATACGCGACAACGTCGCCCGAGGCACGTTCTCATTGACTCCGACGACCCCATAACGGCAGGTAACCTCCCCACGGACCTACCCGTTCTACCCCGACCACACTTTTACACACACACACGACACCGTCCTCGCCGGCGAAGACGACGACCTCAAACACACAATATCGCGCATTCAACCGGGCGCCTGTGCGCTCCACACCGGCGCCCCTTCGATCGATCCCCAGTCCAATTCAAACGGGGATCGAAATTACGACGGCCTGAACCGAGGTTCGAACCCCTAGTGGTGCCCTCAGACTAAAGTCGTATCCGTCAGGCAGGAGTTGGCCTTCAGCCGCTCCATAAGTCCTTCCGCGGGTTTGGAGTGCCATCTGCACTCGCCCCCTAACGTCCGGTGAAGTTGTAAAGGCCAGCTGGGGCCAACAGCATCAGAGTAGTCCAAAAAAAACAAAATGGGTCACTCACAGCATACAAAATGAAAAAACTTAAAGTATCGCGTTATTTACGAATACGAGTTCCGCTGTGGCACCAGTGCTACACGTTGCTAAGTGGTCTCGCAAAAGAAAACACGTGCATTTTTAGGTTCAACGTTTTCGTTCTGGAAATTTTGACCTGCAAAGCAATCTCGGTGGGCGGCCGGAATCCAAGGTTGATAATGAAGAATTGAAGGCTATTGTGGAAGCGGATGCATCGCAAACCCGTCCGAGTTAGCTGCAGGCTGCGGTGTTAATGACAAAACTGTTTTAATCCTTTAGCAAATTGGGACGGTGAAAAAGCTTGAAAAGTGGGTCCCTCATGAATTCAATGGAGTAAATCGACAAACGCGCGTAGCTTGCTGCGTTACATTAATCAACCGGCATAATAATGAAGGGATTTTAAATCAAATCATTTCCTGTGATGGAAAGTGGATCTTGTACGATAATCGGAAACACTCATTGCAATGGCTAAACCCTGGCGAACCAACCAAATCCTGCCCCAAGCGAAAATTGCCTCAAAAAATGTTACTTGTGAACGTTTGGTGGACTATTTCCGGTGTTGTTCACTTTGGCAATGTGTATTGTCAGCAATTGAGAAACCATGATGGAAAAGCTAGCTGCTAAACAACCGAGGCTGGTCAAACGCCAAGAACGCTTGACCACATACTGCACAACAGACAGTTACCAAATTAGAAGAACTTCAATTGAAATGTCTAAGACAACCACCGTACTTCCCGGACCTTGCTCCAACAGATTACCATTTTTTTCAAAGTTTACTAAGTAATTTTAATAACTTCTTGCAAGGGAAAAAATTAAACTCCGATGGGGCAGTCCGAAGTGCAAAAACAAAAGGCAAAAGTGCATAAATAGAAATGGTACATAGGTACCTAGATTAAATAAATATATTATATTTTGAAAAAAAATACTTCAGGTTATTCCCTTACAAAACGCCAATTTCAATTTTTCAGGACCTAATTGTTCTTATAATTAGACTTATTTATAATGACATATATTATATATTTATAATGACAGCACCATTTTTGGCTGCTTATTTAGAAAATAAAAACAACGTAAACAAAAATAGTTTCTACAAAATAAAAAAAATAACATGAATTTAAACAAAAACGTTAATATCTTAAATTATTGCGCCGCCACGCAACAAAACAAAGGGCAATTTAATATCTATATAGGTACATGATTTCTCGAGTTCTCGACTTTTCTCGAGCTTGATTTCCCGGGAACAAAACCCATGAATTTCCCGGGAATTCTCGAACCGAGAATTCCCGGGAATGAACCCTAATAGCTATGTATCTAGGTATCATAATGTTAGTACTATAGTATTAATAGTTTTACAAAAAAAATTGTTCCTTTTTCCAGTAGCTGGAATTATGTTTTCTGCCATAAAAAATCAAAATTGTTTCTATGGAATGATTAATTGTATACCTAACTATAAATCTTTCTTTCCAGTGATAGAAATAAGTGGAAAAAAACAGAGGCTTCTATCATCTGTGCTATTTGCGTACGCGATTTACGTTGGAGAATCGCTTTTCGCCATTATTGCAATGTTTGTTCCGTATTGGAAAACTCTTGCACGCATCATATACACACCGGGCATTATTTGTCTCGCTCTAGTCTTCGTGATCAGAGAGAGTCCGCGATGGCAACTGCTAAACGGCAAAACTAAAGAGGCGATTGAAACTTTACGATTAACAGCGGAGACGAATAATATTAAATTTAATGATGTTATAACAGAATCGGACGAAGCTATATTAAAAAATAAACTGAATATTGGAAAGACAACTGTGAAGGAAGGTTACAAGAAGATTTTTTCATCGAAACAAATATTATTGCGTATACTAGTGGGTGCAGCTAGTCGATTCAGTGCAAGTTTCGTATATTATGGACTTATGATCAATTCAGTGTGGTTGCCGGGAAATAAATACACGAACTTTCTATTGTCTACAGTGATGTCGTTTCCAGGCGAACTTATATCTTTGTATTTTATGAACAGGATAGGAAGAAAACTGCCACTTATTGTTGGATTTGCCATTTGTGGGACGTTATGCATAGCATCTGGATATGTGCCTGCAAGTTAGTTTCTTTTTGGGTTCTTATAGTATGTACGACACGATTTATACCCATTACATTGTTGGTCGGTATTTTGGTACACGTCAGAACCTCCTTCCGTGTAAATTTGTTAAGTTTTTTTTTATGTTTATGATGATTACGTCACAATCCTTTAAGCAGGCAGTCTAGTGAAGGAGAAAAGGACTATGTTAGTCATTCTTTATTGAGTATCTACTGTACCAATTTCAGTCAGTGTATACTGCCTGGACTGACGGAATTTGAAATGGCAACTCTTTTATGATATCACGGACATCACAAGAACATGTGATGTCCGTGCTGTTGTTCATGTATATAGGCGACGGTTACCACTTACCATGTGGTGGACCGTTAGCTTACTTAATATTAAAATTCATTCATTCATTCATAATTTAAGAGCTACGCTCTTGTCGGTGGAGCTCTTGAATATTAAAATTACATAAACAAAATACAAATAATGTAAATAGGACTATTTTCCGTAATCAGTTTCTCATCTGGGCCGTTGTACGTGTAGAACTGAGACTACTAAAGTAGCCAGCCAAACTCCTCCCAGAAGCGCAGAAGTCTCTAAAGAAAAAAGATTCTAAAAGACTTTCATAAATTACTCCACAGGCTTGGTATGGTTGAAAATAACTCTGTTCCTATTGGGCAAAGTGGTGATATCTTCATGCTTCACTGTGGCTGTCACATACAGCATGGAGCTGTTCCCCACCACTGCTAGAGGCACCCTGCTCGGAGTATGCGCCTTCGCTTCCAGACTGGGCAACATGCTCGCCCCTTTGACACCTATGCTGGTAGGTTATTTAATTATAAATTGCATATTAATTGAGAATTAATTATAATAATAACATTGTATTATTTACCACAATAGTGTTATGGATACTAGACAACTCGCAGAAATACTTAAATTAATTTTTATTATGTGTTCTGGGTTGACGCAGTTGACAGAAATACATTTTTTTAATAAATAAATAATAATAATATCTCAAGACATTGAACACTATGTCTTCTAGTACCATACTAAGCAGAGCTTGTTTTATAGATACTGGATAGCTGATATAAGTAGGTACATACATATATTTTTTGTAATTCATACATAATATATATAGAAAACACACAGACCAATACTACAAATTTCTACCACTGTTCTGTCCTCATTGTTCTTATATTTTTTTATGAATGATAATAGTTTTATGCTCCTGCCTACGCTAACAATATAAGCTGCCGGCACTAGTGGAGGATGATAAGATGAGCATGAGGTCAGGACAGTTAGCACATCGTGGATAATTCACTAGGAATTTATTATGATGGTTTCCAGAGGGAACCATATCATCAGAACGACATGGGGTATCAGTCCACATTATTAACAAGTCCCTTCCCCAACTGCTCTTGTTTATTAACTCCAAATTTATTTACTTATTCCAGTACGACATATCAGCGTCTCTCCCCGCCATACTGTTCGGAGTATCTTCAGCTGTGACAGCCGCACTCATAACCCTCACTCCTGAGACGAAGGAACTGCCACTGTTTGACACCGTGGAGCAAGTAGAAGCCAGCATGAAGGTGAAACGTGACGAGAAGACCACAATATCTACGATTGCATGAAATTTGCAACTACGTACCTTAAGGTTTATTCTTCAGACCCGAGAAGGTCCAATTTCAAATATCCAACAGCTGTCATTTCAGTTTTGATTGGATTGTCTGTCTGTCTTGTTTCGTACTTCTTGAGTATTCACGAACATTACAGAAGGTGTAAATATAAAATCCGCTTCCAACACTTTTCGATTATTCCTCCAAATCCTCCTATCAAATACCTTTAAATTAGAATATTGACTGCTTCCTTCTTCGTGAAATAAAAATAACTGTCGATTTATAATAATAATATATTTATTTTTATTTTATTTCCAAATGGATGATGATTTATTTCCTAGTAAAATCCAGATAATGTTTTATTTCCAAAGTCAAAGAGTATAATTATTTGAACAAGTAATCAGTAAGTAATTTTTTTCAAATATAATAAAATACGAGATGAAAATAAACAGTATCTAAACCTATTTGTTTATTACTTTTTTTATCTCCTATCTCTGAGTATTTTAATTATTTATAGAATTAAAGTAATAAGGTTAAGAAATCATGATTCGAACTGAGATTTTACCACATCTGGGTTCATTTCCTAAGCTAAAAGTGCATTCCACAAACTATCCTACTTATCCCATCGACAAAAAATTAACAATTGTGTGTAGAGACATTGTTAATATTTTGTCGATGGGATAAGGCATCTAGTATTAAAGAGGATCTTCAGATTAAAGTATTCCCTCAATTAGACCGATTTTCTTTGAACAACTTCATTTTAGAATTACCTACACGTAACTATAAAACAAAAAGGACCCAACAGCAAATTATTGTACAAGAATTCACGACAGCACAATAATTTGAAAAAATACTGAAAGCATTAGAATTATAATGACATAATAAAGTAGTAAATAAAAAACGATCTTGTAAAATATCCTAGAGCAAGTTTAAATTAAAATACATTAATATAACTTAAAAACGAATTACACTATCATATACATAAACGCCTGCTAATTCTGAAACCGGTATTTGGGGAGTTTGCGAAATATTTTTTTAATTGTGGCAGGAAAGTTATTTAATATTGAAAATTTTTAAAATATCCACGCAAGGGCTTATTTGAAGTAGCTATATTTTCCAAAGAAATAGATATAGGATAAGGTTTTTACTCTAATTAATCAAGTTATCCAATTAATTAGTTAGTTAACAAGTTATTAAGTTAAGTTATAAAAAAATTGTTCATGTCAGGCACATGAACAATGCGAATATTTTTTTATAACACAACCAGATTGCAGTGTTATGTAGTTATGTTATAATTGAATATTCAGAAATACAATTTTCTTCATGAAAACGACAGTTATATCTTTGTAGTTTGTACTTAATAATCACTACATAGTATAAAACAAAGTCGCTGTCGCTTTCTGTCCGTCCCTATGTATACTTAAATCTTTAAATCTACGCAACGGAGTTTGAAGCCAATTTTTTAATAGATAGAGTGATTCAAAAGGAAGTTTTATATATATAATACATGTACACCCGTGCGAAGCCGGGGCGAGTAGCTAGTACGAGTATAAATGAAACATCCATTATTATTTATTTAATTATAATGTTAAAAATACCAGGTATATTTTTTTATGTAATACTAAAATACATGTAGTTATACAAAATATCGCAAACATAATAGCAAAATACTCTCTCAAGGTTGTTCATTCATAATGTTCCTGATCCAAACATGTACACTTAACAACAGAAAACAATACCGAATAACAGTTTTACCCCCTTTATTCATAAAAACCGCTAAAAGTTTATTAAACCAGTTTTAGCCAATGACTCGCTCTCATCATTTTCTTAAGAAGAAAGAAAATGACAAAACATTATAATAGTGGAAATGGATTTCACGCAAACATTCTTGCAAAATGTATTAAATTAATAATGTCAAATGCAACAGGTAAGTTTCTTGCTCATTCTTCTAGGTTGAATCAGCATACCAAAGGAACGGTAAAATAGAAATAGACTATTAAAAATTGGACTGAAATTAAATTTTTATGTATATTTAGTTTTTTTTATGAATAATGGGGTAAAGTAATAATAATGAGAACATTATGTGTTACATACAGTCTTCAAAAATACACATTTTCTTTTAAAGATTAGGTATATATGTATAATTCGATATACGATGACTCGGCCCATTCTACAAATTAACGTAAAGGAAGCATCGTTTGAGCTGACCATAGTGACCATAAAGGAATAGTTCTTAATTTTATTGGTATATAATAATGGAAGTAACTAGTGACTGAACGTTACGTCAATTAGTTTCGGCGCTACAGTTAAGCCTCGGTTTCTCTAATTAATTAAACGAAAATCACATTGCTAGTAGTAAAAGGGAACTAATACAAAACTATCAGTTTTAACCAAATCTCTATTAGAACCTAATTTCGTGTCGGATACTATACTAGTAGCACAGTTGTGTTACAAGCACGCAAGATTCTTAAGAAATAGGTTACTGCAAAAAAACATAGGGCCAAGTCATCGTACAATTCCTACAGCAACTCTTGATATAAACCTCCTCTAGTTAAACACCTTCAACATTCAGTTGGTGGCGCAGCCGCAACGTACTCCTTCACCTTTGGCAAGGACTGTACTGTATCGTACAACTTCTTGAATCTGGGGTACTTTGTGTCCAGGTCCGGAGCCTGCATCATCACCTTGAGGTAATCGTACAATCCCGTGAACACGAAATCTCCCCATGTCAACTGGAAACAAAATAGATGAAATATTGTATTTATGAATATGACTTTTAATTTTAATATTAAGTACAAGGGGGGAAGGGGATTGTTAGTAATGTGGAATGATGACCCCATTGTTAAAAATGTACCATGTCAGGTAGACCTCCACGCGGTTCCCCCTGGAAAACATCGTGATAGATTCTTGGGGAATTTGTCCACATGGGCTAACACTGACCTGACCTGTCACTGACTGTCACTGGTCAGATTAGTGTTAGCCCATGTGGACTCATCTTATCATCCTCCACATGTGCCCTGCCAGCGTAAACCATTAGCGCAGGCGGGAGCACCATTATCATCCATAAAAAATATATATTAAGTACATATACTAGTATAATATTAAATACTATATGTTATGTAGTTTATTCATTGTTTTGTATATTTTACAATCGATGATTAGATCGCTGATAATGTAATTACAACAGACCACCGATTGAGGACCTCGCTGGTCTAGTAGTTTAGGACACATCTTTATCACGTCACATGTATGTATGTAATTCGTAGAATCTTTTTAACCAATACTCTCCCGCCGAAGTCAAACACAATAATAACAATATTAAAGTGATACACACCTTTCCGCCTACAAGGTAGCCGTTGTTTTGCTTTATAATCTCATCCAGTTTCTGCAGCAGGAAGGGGTACAGGGTTTTCGCGTTCTCCTCGTGTTTCTTTGCCTTGAGTGCAGCGTCTGTTTCGTAGTGTACTGTAGCTGACTCTGTAATCATCATGTTATCATGTCATCATGATATAATCGTGGCCATTTTAATTATATCTTACTAATATTATAAACGCGAAAATTTGTGACTATTGATAGACATTTGTTTTTTTATTTTATTGGGAAGTTTGGGCTTTTATTAGGTGTTTAGATTTGTACTGCTACTTACATAGATACATATATTATGTTCGTTATCTAGACCCATTAGTGACAAGAATTGGTGGATATTCTTAGGAGCGATGATTTTTATCCGTTTAGGATGTCTCTCTCTCCAAAAGAGATAAAAATCTTCTTCCACAATCTCCCAATTCTATTACAACATTAGGTTCTGACATACATAGCGGTCTACTGATTGATTTTTCCACCTATATATATATACATCACTTTGAATCAAGTACAGCATATTAACTACTATGGAAAATTTATCTATATATTTTTTTCTTATTTAGGGACTTTTATTTTATTTATATGCCAGTCCCATTGTACCCTAAAACAAATTACTCCATATCCTCACCAGTGAACAAATTGCCTATATTTATTCCTTTCTAATTTAATGCAGTCAAAGTCAGACACACAAACCAAGCAAAGCTTTTAAATCTGGACTCACTTGAACGGATATCGTTGAGGAAGTCCACGTACTGGTCGATGAGGAAGTCTTCTTCAATATCAGCACCGGTCAGCCCGTACTTACGGCCCAGATATCTTGCAATCGCCACACTCTGGGTGTATACCTTACCATTCAGCTCCAGAACTGGCATCTGGCCAAATGGGGTCTCTGTAAAGTGGTAACGACATTTTTTTAATAAATTTATTTATTCATTTATTTCGGATATCCATCTATATTATGTTTGTATACAAATTAAAAACTATGTTAGTAAATTACAATATATATCAGTGACGCAGTTCTATTCCGCGTTATAGCTTTAAAGCCATCTACCAGACCAGCTGATGGTAAGCGACAAGCGTGGCCTGCACATCATCCATCTTATGCCGTGTGTAGTGGTCATCTTGCCATTTGGTGGACTAAGATCTAAATGGAAGATGAGTAATGTCTGACGACCATAAATTAGTAACCTGCTAATTATAATAATAATATCCATGGACAATTGAGCTTAGTGCAGGGATTGCTGTTAATTGTCTTGTCTACAACCATCGATGTAATGTGTACAAAATAAATAAATAAATAAATAAATAAATAAACATTGAGTCATCACGGTAAGCAGAGCCTGTGTTATGGTTATACTAGACAACTGATAGAAATATTGATTTTTTTTTATGGTAAATAAAGGTATTTACATCTCCCGACATTTCGACTAGGTTGCACTAGCCATGTTCATGTGCTTATTAACTTAACCGTGGTTATGTGCTATGTGGCGTGTGTGTAACAATATAAATAATGTGTGTAATAAACACGAAAGTTTAACTTTTTAAAACTCTACCTTGTTGTTCTACCTCTACTTCAAATAGATAATAGTGATTGACAATATCCTGAATATATGGTAATAAAGTTCTCAAAATGATTCCTGTTGCTATAGATGTTATAGATATTAAAGTCATACACATAGAGTCGAAAATATAACAAACGGAAAGCTACCAAAACTCAGACCGTCGTCGTGACATAATAGAGATCCAATTATATTGACCTTGACAACGACAATCTGTTCATGGCCATCTATTTCTGAACTCTATTTCAATGGCATTGAATTACAATATGCATTGAACAACAATAGAGTCTAAGGAATA